TGTGGCTTGCTCTGGGGTGTGGCTTGCTCTGGGTGTGGCTTTCTCTGAGGGTGTGGCTTGCTCTGGGTGTGGCTTGCTCTGGGTGTGGCTTGCTCTGAGGGTGTGGCTTACTCTGGGGTGTGGCTTGCTCTGGGGTGTGGCTTGCTCTGGGGTGTGGCTTGCTCTAAGGGTGTGGCTTGCTCTGGGTGTGGCTTGCTCTGGGGGTGTGGCTTGCTCTGGGTGTGGCTTGCTCTGAGGGTGTGGCTTGCTCTGAGGATGTGGCTTGCTCTGGGGGCGTGGTTTGCTCTGGAGGCGTCGCCCTTCTTGTTCCTGACACTCTGGGTGACAGTGGCCCGGCCTCCTAATCTAGGTCTTGCTCTCCTCCATTAGTACACCGCCCCCTCCCTAGGAAAAAGCGACAGGGGACCGTCTGGCTGTGGCCACTTGGGTGCGTTACATCGGCTCCGGTCCTGGCTGCCAGCTGTGGCCCAGGTGGGCGTCCTGCAGTGGCCAGGCCTTGGGCTGTGGCAGGAGGACACACAGGGGTCCCAGTGGTGGGGTGGCTCGCTCCTCTGCAGCTTGACTGGAGTGGACAGGTAAGCGGGAGAGACGGACAGACAGACGGACAGACAGGCGTTAGGAACAGGGAGACCCAGCTCACCTGCACCCGTGGAGCCTGCTTTCCCCTGTGCACGGGGAGAGGATGAAGCAGGGGACCCGGGCCTGGGCATCTATGGGACCTGCTGCGCCCCAGGAAGTGCCAGGGCCTGGCTCTGCTGCAGGGCACCGGCCTCCCTTCCCCAGCCTCACCCCCAGGGGACTCCATCTGAGCCTCTGCTGCCCCAGGGGTCCCCCTGGCCCCTCTGTGAGATCCTGCTTCCCCATCTCAGCCTCCAAACTGGCCCAGACCTCTCCTCCCAGACCGCCCCAGGCCCCTGCCTGACCCTCCCTCGCACTGGGCCACCATGTCCTTGGATAGACAGGGGAGGACTGGGCTGATTTTGCCATTGATTCCGTGTCCCACCCCGACCCTGGGGCTTGGCCAGCTAATGGAGCAGGGGAAATTTCAGCTCTGTGAGGGGCCCGGTGGCCCACGCCTGGATTCCCAGCGGCTCAGGAGGCTGAGGCAGGAGGATAGCAAGTTAGAGGCCAGCCTCAGCCACTTAGCAAGGCCCTGAGCACCTGAGGGAGACCCTGTCTCTAAATAAAAAATAAAAAGGGCTGGGGAGGGGGTTCTGTGGTGAAGCACCCCTGGGTACCAATAAAAAAAAAAGAGTCTCAGCCCTGTCACTGCCCAGCCGTGGAATCTGGACAGCTCACTTAACCTCTCTGTGCCTTGTGATCATCTGTAAAATGGGATCAAGACAGGGCCACCTCCTCAGGTCACAGAGAGGACTGGAATGAAGTATGATGAGCTTTCCAGCAAGGATAGGCACTTAGTAGTGGCTCAGTTAAAGAGAGCCCGGGGACGGTTAGCGGCTGGTGGCCTGTGAGATGCTGTACCTATGTCTCTGAGCCTCAGCTGCCTCAGTTTCCCGTGTGAAATGGGACAATAGTTAACAGTGGCCTCACACTGTCCCTCCAGGCTGGAGTCCTGGGCTTCCTGGTCCTCTGCACCCACCGGTCAGCCCTGGGCTGCGGCCAGGACCACAGCCGAGGGGACCTACCTGCTTCCGAGGGCTTCAGGGGCCGCTGGCTCGGGGGCACAGGGAAGATCTCCAGCCGCACCTTCTCGGACACACTGGCCAGGAGCTTGGTGGCCTCCTGCAGCGAACAGTGCTCCGTGCTGGTTCCGTCGATGGCCAGAATGTGGTCTCCGGCATGCAGGGCCCCGCTCCTGGCCAGACAGGGGACAGAGAAGGCGCGTCCAGCCGGTCAGAGCTGCGGGCCACCTGTCCCCTGCGCCCACGCCCCCACAGCCTCACCTGTCCACCACGCTGGCTGGCTTGATGCGGTCGATGGTGAGGACGGGCTTGTTCCGGTGGGAGCCCGTGGTCAGCGAGATCCCCAGGGCGGACCCCGGAGTCTTGGCTATTTCCACCACCAAGGGCCCCGGGGCACTGGCCACCGTGTCTGGCACGAGGGGAAAGAAATCTTAAAAGAGGTTTGAAACCCAAATATCGAGCACCCTCCTTCCCAGTCCCTCTGCGCTCTCTCCACTGAACACCTGCTGCCCCAAAGGGAAGAACATGCCCACTCGACGGACCAGAAAACCAAGTCCTGCCCGCCTTCCCAGCAGCTTGGGAGGCTGAGGCAGGAGGATCGGCAGTCGGAGGCCAGCCTCAGCAACTAAGGGAGGCCCTAAGCAACTTAGCAGGATCTTGTCTCCAAATAAAAATAAAAAAGGGCTGGGGATGGGGACCGCGGTGAAGCACCCCTAGTGAAGCACCCAGGGTGAATAATAATTTGTCTGCATTTATTGAGTGCCTGCTGTATGCCAGCAATGAATGTTGGCTACGATCTGTCCTCGTCTTAGAAATCAAACGGGACCTCCGTGAACACACCCAGTGGCTTCAAGTCCAAACCTCGGTGTCACCCTGAGCCACTGCCACGCTTGCTGTGCATCCAGATGCCAGCCCATCAGACCAGCCTGACCCTCGTGGGGGTCAGGTCCACCTCCATTACCAGCCTGGTCCAGTCTCCATGAGTGACAGTCGGCTCCTCCGGCTGATTGGCTTCCACTCTCATCCTGCCTCCTCTGTCCTTACCCCCTCCCACTCACTCCCATCTGCTCCAGTCAGACGGGCTTCATCCAAGTCAATCCGGCTAGGCTCGTGCCCCAGGGCCTTTGCACCAGCTGCTTCCTTCCCTCACTACCCGAGTTAGACAGCACCCTGGGCCTTTCCCCTCCCACACCCCTGCCTTTTCTTCTTCTGTCCCACTGTGCTAATAGCTGCCTGGCACCTCATGTGTGTGTTTGGTATTGGAAATGGACCCCAGAGGTGTCTCCCCACTGAGCCACATCCCCGGTCCTTATTTTTTTTTTTAATATTTTAAAAAATTTATTTGATGTGGTGCTGAGGATCGAACCCAGGGCCTCGATCGTGTGAGGCCAAGCGCTCTGCCGCTGAGCCACAAGCCCAGCCACGCCCCATTCCTTTTTTGAAATTTTATTTTGAGACAATTTGTTGCTAAGTTGCCTGAGGCTAGCCTCACACCTGCAATCCTCCCGCCTCAGCCTCCCAAGGAGCCGGGATGACAGGCATGCGCCACGGCACCTGGTGACACACACTGTTTCTTATCTCTTCTGTTTTCTGATCTTGTCTGCTCACCAGAACGTCAGCTCTGTGAGAACAGAGTCCTGTTGGGTCCCGGGTGCATCAAGCAATCCCGGCCAGACAGGATTTAACGCCTAGAGAGGCTCAGAGAGGCTAAGTAACTGGCTGGAGGTCACACAGCCTGGGCAATGGGAAGGAGCTATGGCCACTGCCTGCATGCCCCACCTCGGACTCTTTCCTGTCCCAACCCTGGTCCCCGATGTACCTGGGGTGGCCACATCGTACTCCACCTGGAAGAGAGCTTCCTGGCTGCACTGCTGCAAGGTGGCCAGGGCGGTGGCATGGCTGGCCCCGTGCAGGGGGATCCCGTCAACACTGAGCAACCTGTCGCCCACCTTTAAGGAACCTTCCCTGCAGGGAAGGGCACAGTCAGACAGGTGGCCCCTGTGGGAGCGCAGGGCACCGCACAGAAGGCAGGACTGGGAAGGGAGGGGGCGTGGAGCGAAGGCAGGGGAGGGGCGGGGGCGCGAGAAAGAAGGGATGCCCGGATGTACCCAGGGTGGCCCTGGCCTCCGCCACCCCCTTGGTAAGGAGGAATCCACAGGCAGCCTGGACTCCATCCTAGAACCTCTAAGCTGGGGCCCACTCCTGCACCAGGGCCCAGAGAGGGTGTCTGGCCTGCCAGGGTCACACAGCATCAGAGGTGGGATGGCCTTGGGCTTCCCATTGCCTATCACAAAGGTCCCCTTTTCCATTGTTTCGGTAGTGGATCTGGCCTGGCGACAAGAACTTGGCAGGGGCCTCAGGAGAGGGGGCCCTAGCCGCGTCCATTGACCTCCCCCCCACCCACCCCCACCTCTTGTTTGGGTCAAATCCCAGGCCTGGATGCCTCAGGGGCCCCAACAGGTGGCCAAAGCTATTCTGGGAAGTTCTCTGAATAGCAGTTCACACGGCCCTGTCCCAAGGACAGATTTAGATTGGTGACAAGGCCATTCCAGGGCTTCTCTTAAAATGGCCAGGAAATCTCCTGCTGGGGAGGGGCCTGGGGCTTGGAGAGGGGCGGGGTGGGGCTTGGAGAGAGGTAGGGCGGGGCTTGGGGAGGGGCGGGGTGGGGCTTGGAGAGGGGCGGGGCTGGGGCTTGAAGAGGGGTGGGGCAGGGCTTGGAGAGGGGTAGGGCGGGGCTGGGGGGGGGGGGGGGGGGGGGTTGGGGGGGGGAGGGGGGGGGGATTTTCTGCCCAGGGACCCAGGCATTGCCTAGAGGCTGAGTGACAGCCAGAACCAGCCAATCACAGAGCCCCGGGGGACCTGAGTGAGTAGGAGGTGGGGGTAAGAGGGGCTTGGGGGGCAGCTCTGGAGTGACTTGTCCTGCTGCGCCCATGATGCTGAGGGCTCTGGGCACCGGGTGTGGCCTCTGCCGGCCTCAATCATTGCTCCGCAGAATGGGCACCATGGCCTCCGCTCTGCCCTCTCCCCACGGAGGCAGGGGAGGTCGGTGCGGTGTGAGGCTGTGGCTTCCTCCAGTTGAGCCTCACCTGTCAGCTGGGCCACCAGGACGCACGTAGGTCAGGACGAGCGGGCGGGACTTGTGCACGTCTTCGTGGGCACCTCCTGAACGCAATTCAACAAGAGGCGGGAGTCACCTGCCCACCCCTTCCCTGATACCCAGAGGCCCCCCACCAAGCCCCTAGAACAGCCTTCCTCAATTAAACCTGCCTGAGGACCTTGTCCAACTATACATCTCTCCCCCACCCCCCACCCACCCTGCATTGATGGGACGAGGGACAGGGAACACGACCAATCTCTCTCTGTTAAATGACTTGCTTCCTTTCCTGTGAGTTCATCTTATTTCCCTTTTTGCCCTGGTTGCTAGGCAGCTCCAAACTTTGTTCTCAGTCTCACAGTAGCTTTCACCATAATTTTCTCTTTTTTTGGGGGGGGGGGTACCGGGGATTGAACCCAGGTGCACTTAACCATGGAGCCCCCTCCCCAGCCCTTTTTATTTTTATTTTGAGCCAGGGTCTCATTGAGTTGCTTAGGGCCTCACTAAGTTGCTGAGGCTGGCTTTGAACTTGCGATCCTCCTGCCTCAGCCTTCTGAGCCGCTGGGAAGACAGGCATGCGTCACTGCATCCCGCTCACCACAATTTTTTTAAATATGATTTTTCTCTTAGATATCTGTCACATTCATTAAAGCAAAATTGAGCACACAGGAAATGACCCTTGTGTCCCCACCCACTAACTGCACGGGTGATTCTCACACCGACCTCTGAGGACGAAGCCAAAGCTGTTCCCCTCTTTGTACAGTGAGATGTCCACCGTCTTGGAAATGATCTTGGGGTTGTTTTCGGGGGCTGGAGAGAAACAGAGACTCCCTTGAGTCCCACTGTCACACCCCTAAGCCGGCAGATGTCCCCCAAGCTTTTTCCAGCAGCTCACACTCCCGGTAGTGCCCTACTTAGAGGGAGGAGCCTGCCTCCTGTTCACAAAGAGGCTGCCAAAACCCGGGCTTGAGTCAAGTCTCAAATGTCCAGACTTGAGAGCAACTTGGGGAACTCAGAGCGTGGCCCACCCCAGGGCAGTGGGGACGGGGCGTGGTCAGCCCATGTCCCCCAAATCACCCCCCCCCCCCAGGAAAAACATCTGGAAATTCAATATGCAAAAGCAGGTAGGGTCCTGTCGCCTCCTGGTGACAGCGTACCGCATCCATGTCCTGAGCGAGGCATGGATGTCTGTGGGTCCCCCCGTGTCTGGCACGACCCCCACCCCCCAGGCCCTGGCAGGAGGTAGCCGGAGAGAGTTCCCGGGGGGCACCCACCGGGCGGGGGCAGCTCATACTCCACCTCCAACACCACGCGCTCGCCCACGTTTTTGAGCAGGGTGATGATCTCGTCGTGCCGCAGCCTGGTCAGGTGGATCCCGTTCACTGACCGGATGTAGTCCCCCACGTTCAGCAGGTCGCTCCTAAACCAGGGGGGACCCCAGAGTGACCGGGCTGGACCAGCCCCTGGGACGCAGACCCACCTCCCCTCCCTGGGACCCTGAGGATTTCTGGATCCTCCTTTGGACAAAATGGGAAAGTCGAGGCCCAGAGAGGTCAAGGGCGTGTCCAGCGAGTGCAGATCTGAACCTAGGATGGGGGACACCAGGCCTCCCCCACTCTGTCCCCGTCCCATCTTGTTGTCCTCTAAGCAGGTTTATTTTTTTTTAGGCCGAGTTGCTCAGGGCCTCGCTGAGAGGCTGGCCTCCCATCTGCGATCCTCCTGCCTCAGCCTCCTGAGCTGCTGGGATGACAGGCGCACGCAGGCTGTCTGTCACCTTCTTGATGATGACTCCGGTCAGCCCAGGGACAAGCCCAAGGAATGTCCAGAATGTCACATCTGTGTCACTCCCTAAGTTGGTCCTGGCTTGCCAGATGATGGCTCACATGGGCACCTAGCAGCGCCCGAGGAGCCTGCTGGGTAGGTACTGCAGGGAACAGCATTCTAGGCAGAGGGAACAGCCCAGGCAAAGACCAGAGGGACAGACACACAGCCTGGCAAGGGGAGAGGGGTGACCCTTCTTGGGTGCTTCACAATGGCCTCAGCCCAGGCTCTCGGGATCCCTCATGTCCCCCTCCTGCTGTCCCCGGCCAAGCCCATGCCTCACCTGGCTGCGAGGCCCCCGGGCCTCAGGTTGGAGACCCTGGGCTTCCCATCCTTATCGGTGCCTCCGGAGATGGTCAGGCCCAGGGTGCTGCCCTCCCGCTTGATCAGCTCCACCATGATGACCCCTCGGAACTCCTCTGCAGAAAGACGGGACCGTGAGCACGCAGCAGGGGACGGTTCTGGGGTCCCCTGGTCCAAGACAGGCGAGGCCAACCCCGGGGAGGCATGGGCACTGCGTTGCTAAATGCGGGGGGATATCATCTCATTTTTTTACAGCGGAGGATCAGAGAGGTGGAGCGACTGGCCCCAGGTCACAGAGCAAGCGAGTGGCAGAGCTGAGGCTCTGGGACGGGCATCCTGGGCTCGCTGTGCCTCCAGGGCAGGATGAGGGGGGAGGAAAGAGATCTCGTTACCTGGGATACTCTGTCGGCGGCATGCCAGGGCCACCTCAGGGCCTCCCGCGTCCTTGCCACCTTTGCAATACGGCCCATCGTCTGCAGGGGACAAAGACAAGACACCCTGGTTTCCACCGTATCTCAGCCCAGAGGGCGCCCCCTGCCTGGGGCTGTGGGATTTTTCCTCTGGGTGGCAGCCACTAGGAACCCCGGATCCTCCTCTAGGGAACCCTCATGGACTCCCTTGTCCTAAAGAAGCTCCCCCCGCCCCTCCACCCCAGCTCTTCTGGTCAAATGGCACTGTTGTGAGTCCCCGCCAGGTCCTGGAGCTTCCAGGCCACTCTGTGGTCGAAGACTCAGCGCCATCTGCGGGCGGTGACGTTAGTCTGGTGGGTGATACAATTCCACTGTACCCCAGAAGGAAGCTGAGACTCAGAGAGGGATAGCTCAAGTCCAGGGTCACACAGCTGGGGAGTTGTTACAAAGCAGATCAGAACCCACGGCTGCTGACCCTGCCAGGAGGGACTGTGCTTGCCTACTTGCAGAGACGGGGAGCTCAGTCACACACAGGTGCCACCACCCATGTGTGACAGTACTGACTCAGTCTTGAGTGGCCATAACCAAGGCTTATTTGTGAGGACTATTTTTTTTTTTTATGGTATCAGGGACCAAACCCAGGGGCACTTAGCCACTGAGCCACATCCCCAGCCCTTTTTATTTTTCCATTTGGAGACAGGATCTTGCCTAGGTTGTTTTGGGCTTCACTGAGTTGTGGAGGCTGGCCTCCAACCTGCGATCCTCCTGCCTCAGCCTCCCAAGTCGCTGGGATCACAGGCGTGTGCCTCCACACCTGGCTTGTCTTGAGTACTCCCTAAATCACCTCTAGACAACTTAGAATACTGAGTATGAAGTAAATATGAGAGAAATAGTTGCCCTCCTGTAGCATCCAGGAAAGAACCAGGAAAACAAAACTCGATACATGTTTAATACAGAGGCAATTTTTTTTCCCTAATATTATCAACCCAGGGTTTGGGAAATGCCTCTTAACCACCTCTATCATCAAGCTCTGGGACATTTTCATCACCTCCTCAAATTCTCCTTTGCTGCTCCTTTATATCTATCCCTTGCCAGCCTTGGTTTCTGACAGGCACCGCTCTGTTCTGGTCCTATAATTTTGCCCTTTCCTGAAGGAGACTATCCATGGAGTCCTGCCGTATTGCAGGCTTTTGAGCCTCATTTTGTGTGTGTGTGTGTGACTTAGCATAATCATTTGCTATTCACCCGCATGGCGTGTGTGGGTATTTGGTTTCTTGTTATTATCAACAACGCATGATCCATTCAGTGGCTGTACCAGATTTTTTTTTTTTTTTTTTTTTTTTTTTTGCCTTTCATCTGGTGAAAGACGTTTCTGTTGTTTTCAATTTGGGCTCATTTTGCAGGGAGCATAATAAACATTTCCATCCAGGTTTGAGTTGGAACTTGAATTTCCATTTCCCTTGGATAAAGCCTCAGGAGTAGGATTGACGGGGTGATTCTGCAAGGACGGGGGTTCACTGTGTAAGAAGCCGCCCGAGGACTCAGAGTGGGTGTGTGCCCCTTCCCCCTGCCACCAAATCATCTTTTGCTAAGTTGTTGAGGCTGGCCTCCAACTTGCGATCCTCCTGCCTCAGCCTCCAGAGTTGCTGCGGGGACAGGTGTGCACCATCAGGCCCGGCACCGCTCCTTTTTTGATCTTTTTCCACACCTGAGGTTTGCCTGACTTTCCTGAGCGGTCATCTGTGCATTTCAAGGCAATCGGAAGCTAGATTTCCACTGCAACAACCGCAGGACCCGCCTCCCACGCCATGCCCTTTATTACTCTGATCATATCCCAGATTACCCCTCGCGTCCTGCCCACCCACACTGTCTCATTCGGTCCTGTTCACGACTCACAGTGACTCTGGCAAGAGGCAGAGGGTACCATCATGCCCACTTGACAGATAAGCAAACTGAGGCTCCAGCATATGCCCCGCGCTGTCCCCGGAGAAGGGTCTCCCTGCCACCCTGACCCCCTGGCTCCAGCCAGGCCTCCTGAGTGTCCTGCCCCCGCCCTCCGCCAGCTGCGAGGAGGCCACGCCCCTCCCCCCTCCCTGCTCAGGGACAGAAAGGAGGGTAGGGGGAGCCACCTGGGCAGGTGGCCGAGGACTTACCCCATCCCTGCAGGTCTTTGTTATGAGGGGGAGGGTCAGATTAGGGGTCAGCCTGGGTAAATGGGCCTGACCCTGAATCAGGACTTGGGATGGGCCAAGTCCAGGTCGGGACTGAGTCACACCAAGACCAGGGCTCAGTCCACAGGGACTTTCAACCTCTACAATAAAGGCATTTTCTGCTAGATAAGTCCTGGTGGTGACGGTGGGGAGCCTCTCTTCTGCGTTGTAGGAAGTTCAAGTGTCACCAGATGCCGGGTGTCAACCCGAAATCACTCCAGACCCTGCCAAAGGTTCCCCAGGACAGCAACGTCAGCCTGCACTGGGCACCGAGCTCGACAGTCAGGGGCGGGGCCAGCCTGGGAAGGGGGCGGGGCTCGACCATGGGAAAGGGGCGGGGCTCGACCATGGGAAAGGGGCGGGGCTCATCCGTGGGAAAGGGGCGGGGCTCAACCGTGGGAAAGGGGTGGGGCCAATCAGAGGCGGGGCTAAGTCTGGAAAAGGGCGGGGCCAGCCTGGGTGAGGGGAGGGTTCAACCAGGGGGGAAGGGAGTCTGGGAAAGGGGCGGGGCCACTCCCAGTAAAGGGAGGGTTCAACTAGAGGCGGGGCTAGTAAGCCTGGGAAAGGGCGGGGCCAGCCTGGGTGAGGGTCATATTTAGCCAGGGGCTGAGCTTAGTCTGGGAGAGGAGAGGGCCACCCTGGGAAAAGGGTGGGGCTCATCCCTGTAAGGGGCGGGGCCAGCCTAAGTGAGGGGCGGAGCTCACTCTGAGAAGGGGCGGGGCCATCTTGGGTAAGGGGAAGGCTCAGCCTGGGTAAGGGGCGCGCTCAGTCAGGGGAGGGGCTAAGTCTGGGAAAGGGCAGGGCCTGCCTGGGTGAGGGGCGTGTGCAGCTAGGGGTGGGGCTCAGTCTGGGAGAGGGCGGGGCCAGCTTGGGTAAAGGGAAGGCTTAGCCAGGGGCAGGGCTCAGTCTGGGAAAGGGCAGGGCCAGCCTGGGTGAGGGGAGTGTTCAGCCTGGGGCTGGGCTCAGTCTGGGAAAGGGCGGGGCCTGCCTGGGTAAGGGGCGGGCTCATCCAGGGGCGGGGCTCAGATTGGGGGAGGGCAGAGCCAGCCTGGGTAAGGGGAAGGCTTAGCCAGGGGCAGGGCTCAGTCTGGGAAAGGGCGGGGTCTGCCTGGAAAAGGGGCGGGGCCAGCCTGTGTAGGGGGCGGGGCCAGGCTGGGTAAGGGGCGGGGCTCAGTCTGGGAGAAGGAGGGGCCAGTCTGGATCAAGGTTTCAGGGTCCTGGAAATGCCACCATCTTCACTCTAACCCCTGAGACACTGTCCCAGCTCTCCAGTCACTGCTCCACCAAATAGCTGCATGCCCTTGGCTTGGCAGGAGCTGCTAAATAACAAATCAAACAGCAGTTAAGCCGGTGCTCACTTCCCTGGGCCCCCTGGGGCTGGGTCCCCAGCAGCTCGGCTCCCCCCTCCTTCCCCGGACCCCCTGTCGCATCAGCTGCCACGGAGGCAAGTAACACCCCATTAAGTCTAATGCCTCCCATTAGGGCTCCCTAATACGCACTTCATTTCGATTCAACAAGATGTTTCTGAGCTAATAAAATTAAAAAGACTGGATTCTGTCAACTGTGTGACAGGGAGCGTCTCGCGTATTTCACGAGGGCAATTCTGAAATGAAAATGTGTCTTATCCCGTGCAAATTAGATTCTGTCACTGGAAAATCCCTCTCTCCTCCTGTGTCCCGGGAAGACGGGAGCTAAGCTGCATGCTGGGAGGTTTCTGCACGTATGGGACAAGGGGCGTGGAGGGGGGTGACAATCCGCTTAAGGAAGCTGGGGGACCAAGTTCACCAAACTCAGAGCAAGAGCCCCAGAGAGCGGAACTGAGCGGGACGATAGTCCAAGGTGGAGTTTTGAGCCCTGATGATCAAAAGAGTTAGAAACTTTGAGGAAGGATGATGGACAGGGTCCCCCAATTCGGGGTCTGACACCCAGGCTGGACCCACTAGCTGCTAAAGAGAGAACCCAATTCCTGGCGTGGTCTCCTCCAAGTTCATCTCATCCAGTATTCAGGTTTTGCTCCATTGCTGAGCTGGGCTGCACTGTGACACCCTGGGGACACCCTTGGGACAGCTGAAGTATGTGGGTCTGCTTGTCTCAATACCGAGTGGCCCCAATTCCCTCATTTCTCCCCGATTTTCCTGGCTTTGGGCTCAAAATGCTTCTTTTCCCAGCTTGCTGCAGGGTGGAGGGAGCTGCAAACCAAGATTCATAGCACTGTGTGCCAACAGAGAGTCCATGGGTAATAAGTGAGAACTTGGGAGGGACTTCCCTGGGGAAGACACGTGCATTTTGGCCAAGAGGTCCCAGAGGGTGACATTATTTATAGAAAATTAAAAACAAAAAAAACCCTGGGGTTCAGACCCCAGCCCCCTCCCTCAGGCACATGCGCAGTGCCTCCCGGTCCCTCTTTGTTCTGGGACCTGGTAATTACATGCTTTAGCGATGAAGGCTTTTCAAAAACATCTTTCCCAACCCTTTTGCATCGGGAAACGTGCATTAAAAAAACAGAGATATTTTTATCCACATGTTTTTCCCCCCCACTTCGACTCCTTCCAGCAATGGGTAATTAGGAGATTTTTTGCCCAAGAACTGGCTTCGGAGGGGAATTCATTTCCATCGTGAAGCCAACCCGGTCCCCAGTCCCCAGCAGAAAAATGTGGCTTTGGGGAGCAGGGAGTGCAGGGAAAGATCTTGCCAGAAATCCAGCCCCCTCCCCCTACACCTGGGGCCTGGTCCCCTGCTGTCCCCTGCTGGGTGGGGAGGGACTTCTTTAAGGTTAACAAAAGAGAAGTCACCCCTGAGACTGATGACCCGAAAAGGGATGTGGGGGTGGGGCTCAGGGGTGGGGCTGTCAGCTCAGCTCCAAGGTTGATTGACAGCTGGTTCCCCGGGCCGGGAATGAGCCGGTGCATGGGATCAACTTGGACACACGGGACAGCCTGCCATCTTCAGGAGCCCCCATGTGCCAATGCAGAAGGGGTCATCTACCTGGCTCCATTGTGGCCTCCACTGTCCCCTGGCTTCAACCTTTCAAGGATGCTCCGGAGGGACCCAGTGACAGTCCTTGACCCACCCCCAGCTTTCTGCTCTAAAAGAGATCTGACACAGGACGCTCTCTCAGAGCCTCAGTTTTGCCCTCTGCAGAATGGGGGCGCTCCTACCCTGCTCTGGGGTCAAGGGGACCTGGTGTAGGGTGCAGAGGAAACACAGTGGTTCCTTTTCTGTCCCCCAGAGCATTCAAAGGTTTTCCTAGAGTTATGGCATCCACCGTTCTCCATGAGGGGGCGATGGTATGCGCTGGATAAATAGCATCTCACTTAATCGCCTTCACTCTGGAGATGGTATCAGCGTTATTCCCATTTGAAAAGATCAACAGGTGAAGTGGTGTCCTATGGTCAGGGGCAGGGCCAGAATTTGAACCCAGGACTTGTTCTAAGAACTTGAAAATGACCACAACGTTATCCTCACGCTATTCTTCAATGGCGGGTGCCATTACCACCTGCATGGTATCGATGAGGAAACTGAGGCACAGAGAGGTTTAGGAAACGGCTCAGTGTCACACAGCACCGATCCAGAATTCTTTAGCTTCTCCAGGGCTCTGGCCCTACCCTCCAGATCCACTCTTGGCTGCTCCCCAACTCCAGGATAGGCCTGGGGGGTGCTAAAGGACTGTCTGTAGCTCTGGGGCTGCTAAGTTCCAGAGAACAGGCAGCCCAGCATTTCTCATAGAACGTCTGACTCACTCAGTGCCAAGGATCGTAAGAGAAAATTAATTACGAGTACCCCTGGCACATGCTGGTAATCCCAGGGGTTCAGAGGCTGAGGCAGGAGGATCACAAGGTGGAGGCCAGCCTCAGCAACTTATGGAGGCCCCAAGCAACTTAACAAGATCCTGTCTCTCAATTAGGGAGATGGATGATCAGAGAGGTCACTCGGCTGGTAAGCTGCACAGCATCCAGGAGCTGGGTCTCTCTGAATCCCCAAAGGCCACATCCTTAACCCTTGGGTCCTCTCTCCTCCCTACACAGGAGGGCAGTGGGCCACTGACAGGTGTCAGGGCATTGGGAAGGGGACTTCCAGGGTCCCCAAGTTACCTTCCACACAGTGCACAGGACCTGGGGCCTGAAGCCACACCCCTGCCAGAGCCCATCTCCAGGGGGCATGGCAGTCCCCAACCAGGTGGGAGGTGGCTCAGGCTTGGCGATCTGTGCTCTGGGTCTGTGCCCCTCTGCCCTCCCTCTACCACTGGCTATAGCAAGGATATGACCTCGAAACTGGGTCACCTACAGAATGACTTAATTTTCCAATAGCGGCTTCCTGAAGTTCCAAGAAGATCCCATCCAAAGTCCTCCCCACCGTGACAGCCTCTGGCCTCCCCAACCTCACCTCCTAATGCTCTCCTCTTCCCCAGCTCCACTCCTGCCTGCTGGCACGCCAATGGCTGTTCTACACACCCCACCCCAGGGCCTTTGCACTGCCTGTTGCTCTGCCCAGAATACTGTTTCCAGCCTGTACAAAGTGCTTCTCTCACTTCCTTCAGGAATTTATGGCAGGGGGCCTCCTCATCAGCTTTTTCTGGGGGCGGGGAGGGCAGGGGAAAGGACATTGAGGATTGAACTCACGGATTTCCCTATTTGGTGGGAGCTCAGAGTGGTTGCTCTGCTGGTAAGCTGCACAGCATCTCACCAGCTGCTTTTTTGGGGACTTTTCTAAAACACACTTATTTATCTGTCTTCTGGGATGTCAGGGGCAGGCAGGGACTGGGCTGGGCTTCCGTCTGTCGACTCCAGGGCTGGCCAGCACACAGGTCACTGTCCAACAAAACTGTTTTTGAATTCAGTTGCCATTTATGGGTTAGGAGAATGGGGATCAAAGAGATGCAAGTTATTCAAGGCCAGGGCTTCGGAAGGGGTGGAACCCGGACGCTAACTCGGGCCTCCCTGGCTCCAGGCTCCTGGCTGGGTGGCCTCTGAGGTCCCCTGGTGGCCCCAGCCCCAGCTGAGGGATCCCCAGGCTGAGAGGTGGCCCCCCTGAGAGCCCCTGGGGGGAACTGGGCAGCCCGGGGCTCAGCAAGGGACCCCTCCCCTGGACACATGCCACATAGCTACTCCCCAAGAGCTTTCCAGACCCCTGCTGGGTGGCCGATGTTCACTCAGGCCCTGGGGACAAGGACATCTTTGTGACAGGGAAGTCAGAAAAGGCCTCCCATCCTAGAGGCGGGAAAGTGGATGCTCGGGGCGGGGCTTCCTGGCCCAGTCTATGCGCGGACCTGCTGGGATTGGCCAGTCTGGGGATGGGCCTGCCTCTGATTGGCCCAGCCCCAGCCAATCAGGCCACAATCCCCCCAGAAGCCCAGTGATTGATCAGCAATGGGTGTGGGATCCAAGCCTGCCTCTGATTGGCCCAGCCCCAGCCAATTAGGCCACAATCCCCCCCCACCCCAGGGGCAGCCACCACTCAGAAGCCCAGTGATTGGTCAGCAGTGGGCGTGGGATCCAAGCTGGGCCAATGAGAGCCAGCCCAGCAACTTTGGCTGGAACTATCAGAAAACAGGCTCTTCCATTAGAGTTGGTTGACCTTAAGCTTGAAGGTCAAGAAGAGTCTGTCTGGAAATGAAGCCCAGAGTCCTAATGAAGCTGATTGAGCACCTGGATCCCGCTGCACCTGAAGCTGCTTTTTTGGACTTCAAAGGAAAAAAAAATAGCCTTTGGGCTGATGTCAACGGAGGCAGGTGACAACTCAGGAGGTTCTGTGACCTGGGGAGGACAGGAGGGTGAGGGCTGCAGTGGAGAAGATCAAGTAAATCATCAAAGACGGGTTAGAGAGTTCAAGAAAGGAGAGAGAGGTCACCTAATAGAAACAAGTCACCTACTATCCCGTGCCTCAGTTTCCCCAGCTGTAAAATGGGGGGGAATAACAGTATGCCACTTACGGTACTCTCTTGAGGATTAAATGAGAATATGCACACACACACACACAAAAAGAGCTTAGAACAGAGCCCAAAAGCCGAAGAACGTCACACAAATGTCACTCTTCTTACCCCTGCTGCTGGGTCGGGGGGCGTGGGGCTGAGTCTGGGCACAGGGCTGACCTCTGACGACCCGTTACCAGGGTGGGGAGTGGGAGAAAGAGTCTCTGGGTCCTTCCGAGCAGAGATGGGGGCGGGGCTATTAAAGTCATCTAAGTGGTCCTCCCTGACCCTCAGTCTCCTCTTCTGCCCTCTGGGACCACAGTCCCGGCCCTTAAAGTCATTGTGCAGCTATGTCCAGAGCATGCCAGGTGGGGGGGGTGGTGAAGGAGGGCAGGATGGGAGTGGGTGACCGCAGGGCACCGAGTAGGGAGTGATCTGGGGCCGGGAAGTTAGGCTAAGTCGCCCAGAGATGAATGGATGGACAGACAGACAGACAAGAGCACCCCACGGCTGCCCCACGGCCACTCCCCAGGAATGTGGTGACTGTGCCCCACCCTCCTGCCACCCAGCCAGGGCTCGGGGACTTCTCCCCCCCCCCCCCAAACACTCTGCCCAAGTCCCTGGCCTCTGGAAGTGGCAGTCCCAAGGGCTGGTCACCCTGGTCCCCTGGCTTGGTGGCAGCCCCTGGGACCTGCGTGTCCAGCCCCCTGGCCCCGCCCCCCTCACCTACCCGCCTCTCCAGGGGTCTCCCGGCTCAGCCCGCACAGCATGTCCCCTTCTGTCCCCAGCCGCTGCCCACCAAGTCCCCTGGAGCCACCGGGCGGGGCCTCCTCCTTCCCAGGGAGGGACAGGGAGGGGACCTCGGCTCCCACTGGCTGGGCCCCGAGTCCACCCACTGCCAAGGGCGGCTCTCTGCTTAAAGGGGACACAGCTGTCATCAGGGCTGGCTCTGGGTTGGGGTCCCCAGTCCCCCCTGGGCTGAGTCTGGACAAGGGGTCTTTGCAGACGGCCTGCCCCGGGGCCCTGCGCTGACACCCTTGGGGACAGCGTGGCTCCAACACGCCCTGGCACTCTGGCCAGTGCGTCCCCTCCCCGGGCCTCAGTTTTTCCACCTGGAAAATGGGCACAGCGAGGCCCAAACTTGATGATTGCTTTTATTAAAAAAAAAAAATACCCTGTTGCACAGAAACCCCACGAGTCGGGTCAACTCTCTGAAGGTGGCACCATGCGGGGACCTGTCCCTGCAGGTCTCAGTTTAGAAATCCTTATGCTGGAGCCCAGAGGGTCCGGCCTCTTCCCGCTGAGCCTCAGTTTCCCCCTGGTCAGCCTCCCCCCCTCCCCACACGCTTATTTGAAGATCAAATGAGCTGGTGACCAATCTGCCCGCCTCTGGGCTTGACGGGCAGGCACAGCTGGTCACAGGCTCTGGCCACAGCTGGCAGGCTGCCCCTTCCCTCCCCCCCAGCTGGGCCTTAGCCCTGCCCACTCTTGGCTTAAGGCTGACCAGGCAGATCCCAATGGGCACCCAGGGCCTCCCTCTGCACCCATCTGTGACAGGCGGAAGCCAGCTGCAGCCACTTCTTCTGTTCCCCCCATCTCACCAAGCCAGGGCCAGACTCTCTGAAGAGAAGGTCAGGGTAAAAGTGGCCCTGAACGGTGGGAGTCAACAACCTGGGCAACCGTACAGTGCACCCGGCAGAAGGTAGCAGGGAACTGGACGGGTAATAGAAGACGGCTGCCCGGTCATGATGGGCTGAGGGCTGCTTCTGGAATTTAGCTCACCATTTCTGGCTACCCCTGTTGTTCCAACCCCCGATGGTACTTTTGATCTGGGTTCAAAATCTGTCTGTAGGCCCAAGTCCCACTTCCCAAGATGCCTTCCTGTTTGGGTGACAGGGTCCAGGAGCCGAGCCAGGCCAGGTCCCCTTGACCAGCAGAGAAACCAAAGATAAAAAAAAAAAGATGCCTGGTGGGGGGCAGTGGAGCACCCCTGTCATCCCAGCAGCTTGGGAGGCTGAGGCAGGAGGATCCCAAGTTGGAGGCCAGCCTCAGCAACTTAGCGAGGCCCTAAGCAGCTCAGTGAGACCCTGTCTCTAAATAAAATATAAAACAGGCTGAGGAGGGGGCTCCGTGGTTAAGTCCCAGCCCCGTCCTTTTCCCCAGCCCCTTCGTGGAGGGACAGAGCACCCCACAGGCCTTTGGAGGGCCACTGCCCTTTCACTTAAGAAAACATTTGCTTTCGGTGCAGATGCATTTAAATGAGCAATTACAGATGGGCGGGCGGAAGCTTTGCCACGCTCTGGTCTCTCTCGCTGCTGCCTTGGAATTTACTTTTGTGCATGAGAAGCCTCTGAAAGGTCACCCCGTGGATTACGGGAGAGCTCTCAGGCATAGCTTGCTTCTCTGTGGGCCTGCTGTGCGGGGGGCCCTGGGGGACCGAGGCGCGAGGAGCCAGGTAGGAAAACAGGGTCCGCGCTCTGCTCTCTGCCCCCATGGGCCCACTGAGCTCCTTTGTGTTGGATTTGACCCAAGCGAATGTCCAGAAGCAACTGTTGGACCCTTTGGAACGAGGCGGAGTTCCAATAAACAATTCGGCCCAGAGAGGTTGAACAGCTTGCCCAAGGTGGCCCAGCAAGTAAGGATGGAGCCAGGGGGCTGGGTGTCCCCTGTTGCTGTTCCTGGGGACCCTCAGAAGACTGGGGAAGGTGCTCCATGCATCGTTTGGTATTTGCCCTGAGCCTCCCCCCCTGGAGGGTACGATTGTGCAGGGGGGCTCTCTGAACCTCAGGTTCTTCCTCCAAAATGTAAGTTGTGCATTCCCAAAGCTTTTTGTTGTGGTGGTGGTGGTTGTTCTGGGTTTTTTGAAACTCCTCGAGAACTCCAGGCAGGGCGCGTGCCTGTGTTCAGGAATATGGTTCGGCTCCATCTCCCTGGTCACTCCAAAGAGTATTTATTGAGCACTTACTATACCTGCCAGGAACTAAGCTGGATCAGAGTTTTCAGTGGGGAACAGTCACAGTGGCGCACACCTGTCATCCCCGCAGCTCAGGAGGCTGAGGCAGGAGGATCGCGAGTTGGAGGCCAGCCTCAGCAATCTCGTGAGGCCTGAAGCCACTTGGTGAGCACTGTCATGCTGGAGGGCCACCTCCTAGGGAGCTCTCCAAGGAGGACAGTTGTGTTCCCACAGCCTCAGCATCTGACTATGTCAGTCGGGTGTCCTCTGTGCCCAGCAGCTTGTGGCACAAAAGTGGGGAAACTGAGTCTGAGAAAGAACGGGGCCCCGCCTGGCCCCCCACATGTCTCAGGCAGCTTCTCGCCTCCAGGGGTGTTTATTTCGGTCCCAAGAGGCTGAGATAATAGCTTCATTATACAGATGAGGAGACGGGCCCCTCGGGGAATCGAACCATCTGGCTTCCAAACCGTAATCACAGTTCAACCTTCACAGGGGCTCAAAGGGCTTCGTGGCTCTGGGGACAGCCTCTTCGGGTTCTGTGCCCTCGGGGTGGTGGGCGATGCTGAAAGAACCCTGGCCGATCGCGGTGGCTCATGCCTGTCATCCCAGCTGCACGGGAGGCTGAGGCAGGAGGATCACAAGTTCAAAGCCAGCCTCAGCCAAAGCGAGGCCCTGAGCAGCTCAGGGAGACCCTGTCTCTCAATAAAATGCAAAATAGGGCTGGGGAGGGGGCTCAGGGGTCGAGGGCCCCTGGGTTCAATCTGCAGTACAAAAAAGAGACCGAGAACCCTGAAGTCCTACACCAAGGTGTAATGTCCGGTGGAGAAGGACCATACGGGGATCCCAAGGAGCCCAGCTCAGAACCCACCAGGGAGCTCCGGGCAGAGGGTCCCACCCAGGTGGAGATGCAGGGTGGAGGGACCTGCCGTGTTCTTGGCAGAGGGCGGTAGTTGGACATGGTGATGGAGATAAAGAACATTCTAGAACATTCTGGAACATTCTAGAACATTCCGGAACATTCTGGAATGTTCCTCATCTCCGTCACCATGTCCAACTACGTTCTCTGCCGAGAGGCCCCTGAGTTCAAGCCTGGCTCTGCCTGGCGGAGTGACCTTGAGCGCATTTGGCTTGGTCCTTGGGGGCATGAGTGGACTGGGGAGAAGTGGGACCTTCCATCTCTGCTTCAGATCCCGCCAGCCAGTCTGGGACGGCTTCACCTCTGTCCCCGACGGGAACGCCAAGGAGCCCCAGCTGCCTGCACACCCTCCCTGATGAGTGCATCCTGCAGACAGGGCTCATGGGTTCAGCCAGGGGCAAGGACCTTGCCCAAGGTCATCGCTCGGGGACCCTAGGCACCCCAGTTGTGTGGCTGTCCCCATGTGCTGGCGCCGCGCCCCGCCTGGCCCGCCCACCTGCCCACCACATCTGCTTATGAGTCACCGACTCCTCGGCCAAGACAGGGCAATGTGGGCGCCCGAGAGTCAAGGTCGGCTCAAGGGCAGCGAGCCCAGGGACAGGGCTCCGGGGAGCAGCCAGAGGCTTCCCGCCCTGGGACACAGGAGGGAAACCGAGGCAGGGTCCTCAGAGAGTTGGGGTCAGCCTGGGTCTCGGGCTCCTGATGGGCGGCTGTCCTTTCTACTCCATCCCACCGTCTCCCTGGGGAGGGGAATGGCTGTCTCGCCCAAGGTGTCCCAGCACAGGGGCAGCAGGAAAAAGGGATCCTGGTCAAAGCCAGAGGGGTACACAGATTGGGGACACAACAGAGGGGTCCCCGCTCTCATCAGGGGATGCTGGGTAAACCGGTCACTGAGGAATGCCCCACCCCAGGTGACATGTTGGAGCTTGGAGCTGAGGAGGTCCATACAAAGGAAGGTGCTGAGTCCTTGAATGTTCCAGAATGTTCTAGAATGTTCCAGAACGTTCCAGAATGCTCTAGAATGTTCTTTACTCCATCACCATGTCCAACTACCGTTCTCTACCGGAACACGGCAGGTCCCTCCGCCCTGCATCTCCACCTGGGTGGGACCCTCTGCCCGGAGCTCCCTGGTGGGTTCTGAGCTGGGCTCCTTGGGATCCCCGAATGGTCCTTCTCCGTCCATTGTGCACATACAGCAAGTGCTCAATAAATGCTCAGGATAAGTTTATCCCTGGCAGGGCAAGGACAGGGATTTTTACCCGTCTTGTTCCATGTTGGGTCCCAAGGACTTAGAACAGTACCTGGCACATAGCAGGTGCTCAGTAAATACTTGTGGAATGGGGCCCGGGCACCGTTTATTCTCCTGCCTCATTGTCCATGAATCCCACATGCCCTGCAGCCCTGGTCCCCTGCCTGGACCCCAGCCCTGGCCTCTCCCTGCAGCCCCACCTGTGGTCTGCAGACCAGAGCCAAAGCCTGTTCCGACACTCAAAGCTGCCCTCCGTCCTCTCTTGCTCCAGAACCCTCTATGACTCCCACTGCCCTCGGGACAGAGCCCACCGTCTCTGCCCTCTGGGTGGCTGCCTCCTCTCCCCAGGCCCTTCATGCTGACCCAAGTTCTCACAGTCCCCTGCGGCAGCTCTCCCAAGCCTCCAGGCATGTGCACAAACCTCGCCCCACCATCTTTTTTTTAACCTCACAAACTCCTACTCATCCTTCAAGACCCCACTCCTGAAGTCCTTGCTCACTTCTCTCAAGAAAAACCAAAGCTCCTCTTCTCTGGACCCTCCCAGAGTTTGGGGACATCTCGCAAGGCCACGTGGCCTAGGATCTCCTGAGTGCTTTTCCTCTGGGATTTTATTTCTGCACGTGGACAAGTCCCTCCCTTGGAGTCCCCCAGG